AATATATAAATGTATATACATGTAAATATTTTCAATATATATACTGAATGTGTGTGTGTGTATTTATATATACATAATAAATAAGCACAGTACACATACATATATTATGTAAACAAAAACGTATTTTGGATGCGATTAATCGCGATTAATCATTTGACATCACTATATAAAATACTATACTAATACTATATTCAATACTAAAATAATACTGAATACCATGATCGGTTATGATGCATATAAACAGTTATATAAAATACAATTTGCACATGATTTACCCATCGTGCATCAGTAAATATCTGCAGTATCAGCCCAATAAACTTACCAGTATTTAACTCATTGAGCAGTAGGTTGCATTAGTTATCATATCTCTCAGTCTGGTTTACTTTGTATTGGGAGTGGCTGACCCATGGATGTGTTGTAGGGGTTCCTCCTCCTGGTCCTGGTGTGATGGTAATGCAGCTCAGCGTCCCAAACGGACCGCAGCCGACCCAGAATCCTCCGCTGGTGCAGTGGAACCCCTGCAAGTACTACAGCATGGAGCAGAGACCCAGCAACCCCGAGCCGCAGGTAACGGCACTAGGAAAAACTAAATTCGAGTTTTGTATTTAAATATTATCAATATTCGAATTTAAAAGGCATAATTTCAGTTAGGGGGAAAAAGCTTTTGGCTTCTCTCCTGAGGCCACAAGAGGGCGCATCGAGCTAAATATTACTAATGCACGTTTATTCAAAGCAATAAAATAACACGACTATCTTTGAAAAAAAGTGCATAATGTTTAAAATAATGTTTATAACCCATATATATATATATATATATATCATTAATTAAGTTGCTTAAACAATTAGAAACAAAACAGCATCATGTATGTATGCATAGTTTAATACAAAGGACCGAAAACCAATAACAAATAGTACTTTTTCATTTAAAAACATGAGATGCAGTGGGATGGCGAAAAATCGAGACGTGTTTTTTTTTATAAAAGTTGAACTTACATTAATATTACATGGCTTTCTAAACATGCGGCTCTCTTTTGCGAGACGCGAGTGCAACGGTGATAGATGTCCCTCTAGAAAATACGATAAATATGTGTTCTGTGTGAATGGCTTGGTTTCAGTTTTGATGTAAACAACATCTCCGCATTGATGTTCTCTTTTTCCGCAATATTTTGAATGAACATCTAGTGGCTTCAACTGGATAGGTTAAAAAAAGCATTAAAATGCAACAACATCGTCATCGCATCTTGTGTCCGCTGATAAGCTGCCTGACGCACACCTAAACGTTTTTGCATCCGAATGTGGATTTATATTTTAAATTCGATGAATATTCTAAATGCATTCAAATGAATTTGACATTCCTAAATGGTACACGCATTATAGCTGGCTACAGCTGCAAATGCGTTTGCTCCATCATGGAGACTCAGACTCATCATCGTGTGTGTGTGTGTGTGTGTGTAGGTCAGCACTCAGCTCAGCAGTCCGCTGGCGTCTCCCACACAGTCTCCGGCTCCCTCTCCGTCTGGCACCGTGTGTCCGGGTCTCGGCCCGCTGCCTCTCATCTCTCAGTTTCCTCGGCCCGGCGGGCCAGCACAAGGTACACACACGCACACATTTACTTCATTTACTATCATCCAAGTGGATGCTGCACACTGGTGGTGGTTGAGGAGAGACCCCCCAACCCCCCACATGATTGTAAAGTGCTTTTGGGTGTACAACAATACACAATAAAGCGCTATATAAATGCATCATTCATTCATTCACACACACACACACACGTTGTGTTTCCATGTTTTATGGAGACTCTCCATAGGCGTAATGGTTTTTATACTTTACAAACTATATGTGCTATTGTCCTACACCAACCCTACACCTAAACCTACCCCTCACAGGAAACTTTCTGCATTTTTAGATAAAACTTAAAATAAAATTGAAAATATAAATAAAGAAATTTATAAATACTCTAATAGTATAAAATTAGTGCTGTCAAACGATTAATCGCATCCAAAACAAAAGTTTTCGTTTACATAATATGTGTGTACTGTGTATATTTATTATGTATATATAAATACAAACACATGAATTTATATATTTAAGAAAATGTTATGTTCATATATTTATATATAATATCAATATATAAATGTATATACATGTAAATATTTTCAATATATATACTGAATGTGTGTGTATAGATGTCCCTCTAGAAAATACGATAAATATGTGTTCTGTGTGAATGGCTTGGTTTCAGTTTTGATGTAAACAACATCTCCGCATTGATGTTCTCTTTTTCCGCAATATTTTGAATGAACATCTAGTGGCTTCAACTGGATAGGTTAAAAAAAGCATTAAAATGCAACAACATCGTCATCGCATCTTGTGTCCGCTGATAAGCTGCCTGACGCACACCTAAACGTTTTTGCATCCGAATGTGGATTTATATTTTAAATTCGATGAATATTCTAAATGCATTCAAATGAATTTGACATTCCTAAATGGTACACGCATTATAGCTGGCTACAGCTGCAAATGCGTTTGCTCCATCATGGAGACTCAGACTCATCATCGTGTGTGTGTGTGTGTGTGTAGGTCAGCACTCAGCTCAGCAGTCCGCTGGCGTCTCCCACACAGTCTCCGGCTCCCTCTCCGTCTGGCACCGTGTGTCCGGGTCTCGGCCCGCTGCCTCTCATCTCTCAGTTTCCTCGGCCCGGCGGGCCAGCACAAGGTACACACACGCACACATTTACTTCATTTACTATCATCCAAGTGGATGCTGCACACTGGTGGTGGTTGAGGAGAGACCCCCCAACCCCCCACATGATTGTAAAGTGCTTTTGGGTGTACAACAATACACAATAAAGCGCTATATAAATGCATCATTCATTCATTCACACACACACACACACGTTGTGTTTCCATGTTTTATGGAGACTCTCCATAGGCGTAATGGTTTTTATACTTTACAAACTATATGTGCTATTGTCCTACACCAACCCTACACCTAAACCTACCCCTCACAGGAAACTTTCTGCATTTTTAGATTTTCAAAAAAACTTCATTCTGTGTGATTTATAAGCTTGTTTCCTCATAGGGACCAAAATAATGTCCCCACAAGGTCAAAATTTACTGGTATTACTATCCTTAGCTACCCGGTAACGTGATGAACGTGTGGGCCGGTAACTGCCCACTGGCAGATGAGCCACGAACACTTTTTTATATGTTATACATTTCATATATTTATATAACATATATTCGACATTAAAAATACATTTAAAAAAAATTTAAAAACAGAAAAACATTCCTAATGCAGAAAAGCCGCCTCTTTTTCCGAGTTGCGTAGATGACCACTGTCTTTCTTTCACTATCTCTTCTCTTCTGATAGTTTTTCAGTCAAATCGTTCTCTGTGTGCAGTGAAGAAAGATCTGAGAATCTGTCCTGTGCCACTGAAGATCGGAGCCAGCTGTCACAAGCCGAGGGTGAAATATTTATATAACATATATTCGACATTAAAAATACATTAAAAAAAATTTTAAAAACAGAAAAACATTCCTAATGCAGAAAAGCCGCCTCTTTTTCCGAATTGCGTAGATGACCACTGTCTTTCTTTCACTATCTCTTCTCTTCTGATAGTTTTTCAGTCAAATCGTTCTCTGTGTGCAGTGAAGAAAGATCTGAGAATCTGTCCTGTGCCACTGAAGATCGGAGCCAGCTGTCACAAGCCGAGGGTGAATCTTAGGGTGCTTTCTTTGAACAAATTAGGTCCGTTTAGAAACTTTGCTGTGTGGGGGGGTTTAGTGCCCTAAACTCCGCCTCTGACCCTAAACCTAAGAAAACTTGTTTGCATCGTTACACTTTCAGATAAACACCATTTACTATTTTTAATCAATTTTTTCCCTCGTTTTTTCCCACAATGTCAAAAATTTCAGGTTTTACTATCCTTGTGGGGACATTTACTCGCGCACACACACACACACACACACACACATATATATCCTAACTTGTTGTCATTTTTTGTTTTTTTTTAAATATGTTTTTCATTATATTTTGTTCTAATATATTATAATAAACATATATATATATATATATTTATATATTTATACAGTATATATTTATGTGTGTCTTATTAATAGTGGTTATACTGAATGTTATCTGGTGTGAAGCTGTCCTGCTTGTAATGTGCTATAGAAATAGAGCTACGTGACAACCAATAGGAAGCTTTGCTGTTTGAGATTCACCTGGACAGGATTCATTGTTGGATTGTTTTCCTGGTTTTCTTATGATTCAAAATACCAGCTTATATCTAGTCTTCAAACTCACTCATGACATCATGATGAGCTTTGGACCCGCGGTGACCATGTGCGACTGAGAGTGTGTGTGTGTCTGTGTCTGTGTGTCTGTGTCTGTGTGTGTGTGTCAGCAGATGGACGCTACTCTTTACTGGGGCAGCCGCTGCAGTACAGTCTGTGTCCTGCCATCATGCACAACCACAACGAGT